TAGATTGAAAGGTCTCCATCATGGTGTTCGCCGCGTTTCTGGACGTCTCAAATTATCGCTGAACCAATCACAACCAGAAAAAGTCCTGTGACTTGGTTTTTGACGCTGATTGACCGGTCCCATTAGCTCCTAGCGTCGCCATTTTCTGGACTTAAGCTCAAACAAAGTACAAAAATGATCGCTTATGCGACATTTACACCGCGTCATAATGTACTACGATATTAAATTTATTTCAATAATATCATGTGTACAGGGTGTTTCCTTTCGGCTTTTCTCAACGTTTTAAAGCGCAGCTCTCTGGCGCGCGTTTACTGCTTAAGCGTCGTCGCCGATGCCGTCGGCGTAACCACGCGTTGCATTATGGAATGTGTCCGACAATAACGACACACGTGGCGTCACATGTGACGTCACGAGGGCCACTAGGGTCATGAGTGACGTCACGAAGGTCACTCCTGAAGGTGACGATTTTCACGATGCCTTCACGACTGACTTCAAGAGGGTCACTAGGGTCACGAATGACGTCACGAGGAAGAGAGAGGGAGGGGAAGGAGGGGGAGGAGGAAAAGAGGTGGAGGGTAGGAGAGGAGTAGGAGTGAGGAGAGAGAGAGGGAGGAGGAGAGGCGTTGGCAGTGGGGCAGAGGATGATGGAGGAAGGGCATACCCTCCTCTCCGTACCCTCCCCTCCTCCTACTCAAGAGCTGCGCTTCGATTCGTCGTTAAAAGGAGGCGTAAACATTTTTTTTTCAAAATTCGTGAAAGCTACACTGATTCAGTACAATCGTGTAAATTATATGACCATCACGACATTATGTAGGGATCTAATCGTAACGAGAAGTTGAACAGCTAACTGATTTTTTAACAGATTTATTTAGAAAAAAATAAAGATACTTTTCACACTAAACACTTACTGTGTGTCATCAAAATTACTAAATCAGTAAATTTCAGAAAGAATTGCAGCACATCGTATATGCGGTGGTGCGCTTACAGTTATTGCCGGGACAACAGGCTCAAGGCGGACGGTGCGAAAACGCGGATGATAACTTTATCATCCGCGTCCATCGTGCCAAATCATCAAACATTAAAAGGCCCCGAATAGCATCGTCTCAAAAAGGGATAGTTTGGTCGTTTTCAAGCAATCCTTAATCTTTTTAAATTTGGGCTCCCGCGCCTCGCTAGGCAAATTTTGAGAACAGCCCGGTTTCCGACTAAAGCCGGAATATAAAATCTAGTGTACTCAAGCCGATCCTGGTGCTATTGCAAATGCTCAAAAATTAATCCTTTTGGAGAAAACCAGTCACAACGTGGGGATATGGTTTGGATGTATTTACGCATTTGTTTATCTTTTGAAAGTGGGGCACCCGTGCCTCACCAGTGAACGTTTTGAGAACCCCCCATTTTCCAACTAATAATATAATATAAAATGTAGACCTTTACATCTTATTATTGTAGTGGTGCAAGTACTCCATCATTAACCATTTTTGAGACAATCGGTCTCAAATCGGGGAATGGTTCGAATGTTTTTATTTGTTCGTTCACCTTTTGAAATTAGGTCACCCGCACCTTGTCAGGGAAATTTTTGAGAGCCATACAATTCCTAACTAAACATTGAAAACAAAATCTAAATGCCTCGATTCTATCCTGGTACTATAAAAATACTCCAGAATGATTCCTTTTTGAGAAAACTGGTCTCAAATTGGGGTATGATTCGGGTATTTTTGCGCATTCGTTTTTCTAAATTTAAGCACCTACGCCTCGCCAGGGAGTTTTTTAAATCCAACTAAATCCTCAGCTAAAGGTGAATTTAGAACTTTAGAGCCATCGAGCACATCCTGATACTATGGGAAATATTTTAAAATGAGTACTTTTTTTTAAAAACCCGGTCTCAAAGTGGGGATGGTTCGCCGTGTCTACGGATTCGTGACAATTTGAAATATAGACACACACCTGGCCCGGGAACTTTTTGAGAATATTTCAGTCCCTAACTAAAGACGAAAGAAAAAAATGAGAGCCCTCGAGTACATTCTGGTATTATGGCAAATACTTCCAAATGAGTCCTTTTTGAGAAATCCGGTCTCGGAAGTGGGGATGGTACTGCTGTTTCTACGAATGCATGACTCTTTTGCAATTTGGGCACCCTCGCCTCGAAAGGAAACGTTTTGAGGACAATCCAGTCTCCCGAAAAAACAAACCTGAAATATAAAGTGAGCGCGTCCTGGTATTGCGGCAAATACTTCAACATTAGTCTATTTTGAGAAAACCTGTCTCAAAGTAGGAATTGTTTGGCCGCTTTTACGCATTCGTAAAGCCTTTGAAATTTTGGCACTCGCGCCTTGCCAGGGAAGGTTTTGTGTGTAACACAGTCTCCAACCAAAAGCGGAATATAAAATGTAAGGCCCTCGAGCACTACCTGGTATTATGGCAAAAACTTCAAAAATGACTTTTGTTTGAGAAAACCGATCCCAAAGTGGGGATGGTTCAACCGTTTTGACGTATTCGTTCATCTTTTGGAATTCTGGCGCCGGCGCCTAATCCAGGAAGTTTTTGAGTTCTACCGAGAGCTTAGCAGGTTAGGTATTATAAAATTTATGACACTCAACTATAAGCTGTTGCTACGTCAAATCCTTTAAAATTAGCCATTTTTTAGTAAACGTGTCTTGAAATGGACATGGTTCCACTATTTCCAGGCATTTGTTCATCATTTCATATTTGGGCAACCGCGTTTCTTCCAGGAGCTATTGAGTTCGGCAGAGGTCTTAACTAGCGAAGAAACACAAATTCCAAAGCCCTCGAATACAAGCTGCTGCTATGGCAAACCCTCGAAAATGGGCCACCCTTAATATGGTGACTTTGACCTGATAGCAGCGCGGCAAAGTCTCGACGAAAGCCTAATCTTCCAACGTACCATCTTACAGACGATCGGAGCCCACTCTCGATGGCTCAGTTACAGGTAACGCACTGTTTTCCCAGCTTCCATCAGTGGAAATAAGACCGTGATTGAGCCGTTCTCTATCCACCACAACGGGAACAAGGCTTGAAGAATGCCTCCATCTGCAGCGTCCGGTCACCTGGCAGCAAAGCGGCAACGTCTCAAAAAAGCCCAATCTCCCATCGTACCATCTTGCATACGACAGGCGCCCGCTCTCTGTGACTCATTTCAGCGTCCCGTCACTTGGCAGCAACCCGACAACGTCTTGACGCAAGTCTAAACTTCAATTGTACCACCTTGCATACAGCCGGTGCCTGCTCTCTGTGACTCATCTACAGGTGCTACAGTGTTTTCTCAGCTTCCACCGGTTCAACGAGGACCGTATTCGGGCCGACATCTATCCGCCAACATGGAAGCAAGGCTTGCAGATGACTTCCATCCGCAGCGAAGCATCCTGGGCGACAGCACTTCTGGCACCCGCTTCTCAGTGTTGAACAACCTCAACAGCCGCTCATAATCCGTTACTACGGTGAAGTCTCTTTCGGTCAGGTACTGGGGAAATCTTTTCACTCCGAAGACGACTTCTAAACCTTCTTTGTCAATCTGCGCATAGTTGCGTTCACTAGCACCGAGAGTTCGTGAGGCGTACGCCATAGGTTGCTCTTTCCCCGTCATCAACACTATGCGCCAGCACGGCCCCTACTCCGACAGGCGACGCGTCGCAGCACAAAACCAACGGCCGCTTGAGGTCATAGGGAACAAGTACTGCATTCGAGCTAAGCAACTCCTTCAGCTTTTCAAACGCCTGCTGGTGCTCACCTGTTCATTTCCATTCTTGATCGTGGTCCAACAGCCGATGAAGAGGTTCCGCCACTTCTGTCTTCCCCTTGAGAAAACTGGCGTAGAAATTTAGCAACCCCAAGAAAGCTTAAGCTGCGTCCTGCTTGTCGGCGATGGCGCTTGCTCAATGGCGTCCGTCTTGCTCTGGCTCGGGTGGATACCTGTGGAATCGATTTATGTCCCAGGAATTTAATGCTTGTTTGACTGAATTCACACTTTTCTTTGTTCACTCTCAGCTGCGCGCTTTGCAGACGCGCCAGCACGGCTGCAAGCCTTTCCGAGGGTTCGTCTGCGTTGCTTCCCGATATCAAGATATCATTGAGATAAGCCTTCACCCCCGGAATGCCCGCCAATAAAGTGTCGATGACTCGCTGAAACACCCACGGCGCCACCGAGATTCCAAACGACAGCCGCCGGACCTTGCATAGCTTTTTAATCGTGTTGACGGTCAGCCTTTCTGCTGATTCATCATCTAGGCTGAGCTGTTGATACGCCTGAGTTATGTCGAGCTTGGTAAAAATTTTAGTCGACCCTAACGTCGCTAGCATTTCCGCGAACGTGGGCAAAGGATTCCCTCAGCTTTTAATAGCCTTGTTTACGGTACTACGGTAATCCCCACATAAACGCAAGGTTCCGTTTTTCTTCCTCACCACTAGCAGCGGTGTCGCCCAGTTTGGCTACTCAACCGGCTCCCAGACGCCTTGTTGCACCAGGCGATCCCCTTCCTCGGCCACGTCGTCCTTGAGGGCAGGTCACTGCCGAAAACCTCAGCAAAACGCGATGTCACGTCCTCCACCTTTATCTGCTAAATTCCACTCAAACGGATGCCCAGCGACCCAAACCAGCTACGTCCGAGTAAACTGTTACCACGCTTCTTTACTACTAACAGAGGCAGCTCTGCTCTCCAGCCTTTGAATTTCACTTCCACGTTTGCCCGAGCCACCACGGACAATGTTTCATTCGACTAGGTTACAAGCTTTGCGCCGGCGTTTTGCAGCAATATCTGACCTTAATTCTTCTCGATAAACCGAAACGCCTCTTCACTCACAATCGAGTAAGATGCTCCTGAATCGACTTCCATCGGGACTTTCTGCTCTTGAATGTGCACTTCTATTACGAACTTTTCAGCTTGTTCACGCACTTCGCATACAGAAAACAATGCGCTCATTTCATAGAAGCCCTTGTTCTTCCCCTGCCGCTTGCGCAGGTCAGTTGGCTTCCCCGACGTTTGACTCTAGTCTTTTGAATGACATGCTTTTGCCACGTGTCTAACATTTTTGCATTTGAAACAAGCAGCCTTTTTAAAACGGCATACATGCGGAGCGTGCTTACCGTTGCAGCGGAAGCAGCTGACGTCGTCCGCCGTGGTGTCCAGTTTCATGCGTGTCGCTTGAACCAGACCCTCGCTTTCTTTGGTTCCGTCTTGAGCTTGCTTGCGTATATCGCGCTGCTGCTTCTCCGTTGCTTCCGCCATCAGCGTCATGTCGTACGCTACCTCGAACATAAGGTCGCGTTCTGCGAGCAGCCGCTGTTGAACCGCTTCGTTCTTGATGCCGCATACGAGCCGGTCCCTCATCATGACGTCTAGTGGAAGCTGTTTGTCACCGAAACCGCAGTCTTCAGCCAGCTTACGGAGTGCCGTAACATACTTCGATGCCGCCTCACCGTGAGCTTGGTTTCTTCGGTAGAATAAGAATCTTGCGTACAGCTCCGAAGGCCTTGGATGCATGTGCTTCCGCACCGCACCCTTGATGTCGTCGTAGCTCGCCGCCGTCGGTCTTGCTGGCTTGACCAAGGTCACGATTAGCCCGTAAGTGTCCTCGCCGCAACAACTCAGCAAAACCGCTCGTTTTTGCTCGTGCGTGGTTATCTTGTTTGCAGCGCAGAACATCTCTAGCCGTTCGACGTATTCATCCCAGGACGCATTCGTGCCGAGACGATATTCGCCGATCCTACCGACCGACATCTTGCCTTACTTGACCGGGACTGGCCCGTCCGTCGATCCGCCTCGTCGCCAATGTAATAGATCCTTCAGACAGCGCGGTTGGAACGGAACAAAGGTTTATTTCCGTATGAGCGTTTATATACAGTGCACATGTTATGATAAGCGAACGCAGCTTGCGTTGGTGATAGGCACTGGTAGCGATAACAAGGAATATACATTGTCACTACGTGACAGTACCATCTTGCATATGACCGATGCCCGCTCTCGGTGACTCATCTACACGTGCTGGGGTGTTTTCTAAGCTTCCATGGGCTCAACCAGGACCGTTATTGGACCGGCATCTATCTGCCAACAGGTGAACAAAGCTTGAAGAAGACCTTCATCCGCTTCGAACCGTCACTTGGCAGCAGCACGGCAACCCGTCGACGCAAGCCTAATCTTTCATCATACGATCTCACAAGTTTAAAAAAACAAAAACAAGAAAACGTTCCATTCGTTTCTTAAACTGATTTTTCTTGCCGCAGTTGTTCCCTTCTGTTGTGCAGTGCTTGCATATTTTGAAATTTGCTATGGGTAAGGAAGAGCCAAAAATAAGTTTCAAAGTTGCTTCAAGAGTTACGCCCAGAGATCAGGGCGGATATGCAAAACCTTAAGGAAAGTGTCCAACTCTGTAACGACACCTGTGACGCATAAAACTTATCCAAGACGATATGAGAGAACTATGAAAAGAAATAAAGCAACTGACCTAGAAGAGGAGGAACTCAATGCGGTAAACCACATCCGAAGCGCGAGGGTGGAAAACCTATAACAATACCTACGAATGATCAATTTAGAAATCAAGGGGGTGCCAGCTCAGGGCTACCAAACTGACCTAATGAAGCAAATCGGTAGCCATATCGACGTGCCAATTAAGGAATCGGATACTTCGGTATGCCAACGTCTCCAAACTTTCAAACCCGATATAAAAACATCATTGTCCGCTTCACGACTTGAACAAAGGGAAGCAAAGTGCTTAAAATTTCAAGGAAACACAGACTAACTACTGCGTTCCTCGACTAATAAAATTTTCCCCATCCCGTGCATGTTAACGAACATTTGACGATTGTCAACACAAAATTGCTTGGTTCCGCTATCGCACGAAAGCGTACAGCGAAATGGCGATATCTGTAGTCGACCAGCGGCAAGATTTTGGCACGAAGAAATGAAACTTCGAACCCGTTCCGAATTACAAGCCGGTATGATATTGCGAAAATTGCGAACTAGAAATGCTTGTTCTGAAAATGGTTGACAATATTCCTTGACGCATCAATGGCTGAATGAAAATATATTGATCGTTTATCCGTCAACGAAGAATCCAAATGCCAGGAAACGAAGTTTTTCGTTATCTACATCAATGCGAGAAGCATGAAATAAAGGAAGCCTAAACTGAACTATTTCTTTTTTTTTTTATTTCTCTGTGTTTAAATTTCGATGTGCTTTTGTTTTCAAAAGTTATGGTTGACAAGTATTGACTTCGCCTCATATGCAAAAATTGTAGATACCACGGCTTTATTAGGCAAAAATAAAGGAGTAGCGATCTATACGAAACATAGTTTATCGTACAAAGTTATCGACGAATTCAATACCGACGATGAAAGGGTTAAATACATAGCGGTAAAAAACTAAAAAGACTGGCATTGTTAAAGTTTACGGACCACTGTTGGGAAATGTTTTAGAATATCTAGGATTTCTATAAAGTTTCGTAATCTAGGTGAAAAATATTCCTCTTTTATAATACTGAAGATTTTAATATTAACATCATCTCACAAGACGCAAACACGCTGAAATTTGATGACCTTAGAAGCCAATATGCCTGCCGTAACTTGAATATCCGACCGACGAGAGTGACAACTTACATGGGAACCTCGCTTGATATCTGCCTTACAAATATAGGCGCTAATAATACTGCATCAGATATTTTTTCTGACGATATGTGTGACCATCTATTTATATCTTTGTTTAAGTGCTACTCCCAAAAAAAAATTAACACGTGCGATTTGTTTCTACGAGCCATAAATACTGACTCTAAGATATTGTACAAGTCTAATTAAAATATAGAATGGAATTGGTGTGTGTTTCTAAGAAAATTCTGTTATAACCTTTTAACTGTTCTTAATAAAAATGAAGAAAGTGCTATAATGAGACCTTTCTTATGCAGACAAAATAACTTAGAAAGAAAAAGCAGAGGAAACTGTGAGGTGCGCTGACTGTATAAAGGACTAAAAGAAAAGAATAAAATGTGTCATGCATTTACTCCGAATGGGAATACTAACATACTTTATGAATTCAAAAAGAAAAGAAACGAACTGATTTGAAGAAACAAACTGATTTTAAAAAATAAGCAGAACATACGTATTATCAAGAAAATTTTGCCAGGGTATCTGAAGACCAGAGGAAATAGTGGGAGATGAAAAATGAATTATTAAATAGCAAACAAAGAAATTGTTTTGTAAAGAATATTTTATCAAATGATATGGTTTTATCAAATGCCGGCCAGCATCTAATAGGACAAAAAGACCAAATTGTCAAGAGCATGTGTGTATGAAGAATTTGGAACTCGATGATACTGGTCCCGGTTTCATGCCATGAAGATTTTCAAACTATAAACATATTAAAAAAACACTGGAGCCGGATATAACGATATTAAATCAGAGTCTATAAAGTGCGTGATGGGTTTAATAAGCCATGTTCTCTCTAACTCAACAAATGCAATGATTTCAAGTGGAATCCTTCATTGCAGTCTCAAAGCAGCTAGATTTGTACCTGTTTATAAAGGGGAGACGAAGAATGAATATTAACAATTGTAAAGGGATTCTTGTTTGGTCTATATTGCCGAGCGCGCAGCTGGCGAAGTAGGCAGCGCGGCTGTTGTCTAACGGTTAACGTGCTTGCCTCCCACCCGAAGGGCTAGGCTTCAATTCCCAGGAGCTACGTGTTCTTCCATTTATTCTTGCAGTTTAATGTTCAAGTGAATTGGAGAACTCTGTTGCTTGTTCGAGGTGCGAATGTTCTAGTTACCGAACTCTCTAAGTCGATTGTTCCAGAAGCCCATGCGTGTACATAAGGGGCTTCTCCGCGTAGCGATCGGCAGTCAGTCTCTCCCCAGCGTGCGACCCTCATGTTACGCCGTTATCGACGTCCGCGACGCTCTACTGTTATCTTCGGTTTATTTTTTGGTTTAGGCACAAGTTCGCCCCATTAAACGCTTAGTTCTTTCAGTCATTATCGCCTCATCAATTGTCATTCGTGACATTTTGGTTGAGGTACGGGGTATTGCAGTTTATGCCCGGAAACCGTACACCTCCGAAGACACGCCGGCCAAGTGACGTGCTCAGCCCCGGGAGGCTATCCTTCGGAGAAGACTCCAACGCCCGAGCAAGCCACCGTACCAAAGGCCAGCTGCCGCAATTCGGACGCCTGCCAAAGAAGCCAAAGAAACGGACCGCGACGGTGACTACCCCACCCGTCGTCATCCTGCCTTTCATTCCCCGCACTCCGACGCCCTTCCACGGTGAAGCTCACGAAGACGTAGAGGACTGGCTGCGTTATTATGAACGTGTAGCTCGCCACAACGGAAGGACGGATGAGCACCGGCTTCAGAACCTCTACTTCACGCTTGAAGGCACCGCGAGGCACGGGTTTGAGAACCACGAAGCCTCATTTACTTCGTCGGAGCCATGCCCCGCCGAACTGAAGCGGACGTTCATCAACTACCGCCGTCAGCAGCGAGTGGAGGACCTTCTTCGAACAAGGGTGTAGGGCTCCAAGGAAAGTGTCACAAGCTTTGTCGAAGATGTCCTGCGTCTAAGTGCCAGGACCGATTCGGAGGCCGCCGAGGAGAAGAAACTTCGCGCTCTCATGCGTGGCGTGAAGGGTGAAATTTTCGGAAAATTGGTACGCAATCCGCCGGCGACTGTCAATGATTTTGTTACCGAAGCCACCAATATCGAGCGCGCCCAGACAGCCGAAGAAAGTCACTGTCACCGAATCGCCAATGCGCCGGCTGCTCCAACTGTCGTTGCTTCCCTTGTGGACCTGAATACTAGCGGTGTTGACAGCCTTCGGGAGATCGTCCGCGAGGTCGTCCGGGAAGAACTCCGCAAGATACTCCCCGCTGCGGATCGTCCGTCCTCACTGTCGTTCGCCGAGGTCGTCCTAGAGGAAGTTAACCGAGCCTTCAAACCTGAGGTTCCGATCAACACGACGACGCCAGAGGAACCGACTTTGGGCTACGCCGCAATGGCCCAACGACCGCCGCAGGCTGACCGCCAGGCCACGGGGCCACCCCAATGAGTCCCTCCGATGCCACAGTATCTTCGAAGCCAGGAAGCACAAGTTCAGGACGTCCGTCCGGAGCGGCTCTGGCCGAGAAAGACGGACGTGCGGCGACCGGCCGACTGACGCCCGCTCTGCTACCACTGCGGGGAAGCCTACCACATCTACCGCGACTGCCCCTACCGCCCTTACCGAAAAGTCGTTCAAAATCAGTACACTCGAAGTGTACTGAAGTATACTAAAAGTATACTTTCAGTGCGGTCTTTGCACTGATTGTATACTTTAAGTGTTCTTAAAGTATACTGCCAGTAAAAATGGCGGTGGGCTGAAAGTACACTCGTCCGTACAAAACTAGTACATGTAGTAGAATCGTAGTGCCCGCGGTAAAAAGTAGCTCAAAATCAGTATACTGAAAGTGCACTTAAGTATACTAAAGGTCTACTTTCAGTGCTTGCAGTCGGTGTACTCAAATTATAATAACGGGTATATATATATATATGGTGCGATTTTTAACATCAACACACTAAAAACGCGATAGATAGGCCGATGCCGTTTTCACAGAATATTTGTGGGGCTCGGCGGACATTAGATGAGTAAATAAACGTCACAGTACGTTGTCTAATTAGCTTTTTTTAATTGGTAGTGTAGTTGACCATGTTGAATTTTCAATTTTAAAGGGACTATTAATAAACTCTAGCCCAACTCAA